TGGGTGATCCGGCCAGCCCCTGGCCAGGACCCGGGGGGAGTCCCCAGGAGGACCAGGCCGGGCCTCTCCATCTGCACCCTCCCACCCAGCTCTTCCCCTCCGCGCTCACCTAGTCCCAGCAGCACAGAGACCCCTGTGGCCATGGCCGAGCTGGGCCCAGGTCCCCTCATACCCAGCTGGCCGCTCAGGAGCCTCATGGGACACACCCAGGGCTGGAGCCGTCCGGGCCCTGGAGCCCCTCCTGACACGATGGTGACACTGGCTGCCACACAGGAAGGGGAGGGCCCCTGGCGCAGGACGGGCTCTGCCCTGGCCAGCACCCCTCAGGCTGGCTCTCAGTTCCTCCCAGGGTTTCCTCCTCTGGTCCTCGAGCCTCAGAGACGTGGGAGGGGTGCCCACGCCCTGACCGGGGCTCGCGGCCTGACAGGGGGAGGAGGCCCCTGCTTCCTCCTAAGCCTGGGGACTCTGGGTGGGCTAGGCCGACCCCACTCTGGGACTGTGCAGGAAGGGCCTGTGGGACCCAGGAGGGAGGTGACAGCCAGCCTCTCACTGCTGGGACCACACACCCAGGGACAGCCCTGAGGAAGGAGAGGGGCTTGGGTCCAGCTTCAGAGGTTCCAGGCTCTGGGCAGGGATCCGCTGCTTGGGCCTGAGGTGAGGCAAGACACGTGGTGGACGGGAGCAGAGGACGCTGTGGCTCAGGGCAGCCAGGGAGGAGAGAGGAGGTGTGGGAGCAAGTCCCCTGAGGACACACACCGTGTCCACCCAGCCAGTGCCCACCTCCCAGATGTCCATCAAGTCCTCAGGGTCCTGGGTCCCCAGAAGCCCACCTCTGAGCGCAGGAGGCCTGGGGACACTGCAGACCCTAACGCTGGGTTTCCCTCTGCAGCCACGGTGACCCTGGGCTCCGCCTCACCCACACAGACCATGCCTCCTGGTGGATGGCTCCAGGCCTTTCCTGAGGCCCAGCCGCTGGGCAGCTTCCTCTGCCCCCCACTCACTGCCCAAGAGTCAGTGGGCTCTGCCCATGGTCACCCTGTATCTCTGTCTTGGGGACCACCTGGTGGCTCTCTGGTGGCACCCACAGAGATACAGCTACTACATCGCTAGGTGCATCCAGCTGGTGGATGTCTCAAGGTCACTGTGCCCAGCACCAACCATCCAAGCACCTCACCACCTCCTGTCGCCCATGTCACCCTCCTCACTATGTGGCCCTTTGTCCTTCAAGGACAGAGGGACCCGCTGTGCAGGCCACTTGCTGCTCACTCGCCACAGTGGTCACAGCACCAGGTCTGCACAGCCAGCCCCCAGTGTCCACCTGCTGTGTGCAAAGGGACAGGCGCATGGAGAGCTGGGACTCTCGGGAGCCGCGGGCCACAGGGAGGCGCGGGCAGCCCTGGCGCTCACAGCTGCGGGTCTCAGCTGGGCCCCTCTGTGGCTGCTGGGCGCTGACCAGGGCCTCTGAATGTGGAGCGTGGAGAGGAGCCTCAGGGCTGAGCCTCTCTAGAGACCAAGAGAGGAAGGGTCCATGTCAGCAGGAGGACAGCGCCCGAGGCTTGGGTGACAGGGAGCAGAGGCCTCTGAACAGGAAGGGCCAGTCCCTGGAGGAGCCCTCACTACCACGAAGCCAGCACCACTCTGGGCTAGTGTGCCTGACGCATTGGATCCTGGTGGGCATGAGCTCCCAGGTGAGGGTGTCCCCCACATTTCTGGTCATGGGTTGGGTGCCTAGTGAGGAAGAGCAGGGGCTTCTCTCCCACTCCTGCCTCCATGTGTGGGTGCTCTATCCCGTTACCCGTCTGCCTGCTCCTTAGGTTCCCACGTAATGAGGTCCAGCGGCATCTGCTGTCCTGGTCAGGACACTCTGCTGCTTCGTGTCCCCCAGATCCATCCATCCTACTGCCAACGGCCGGATCTGCGTGAAGACTTGGTGTGTATCATGATTTCTTGGCTGTTTCCGAATCCTGGCTTTCGGGGGGCGGGGGTGCTGTGAAGATCCTGGGGCCAAATCATCTCTGGTGGTGGTGGCTTTGTGTCCTTTAGAGCTACACCAGCAGAGGGGTGGCTGGGCCTCGTGGCAGCTCCGTTTTCGGTGTCTTAGGGAGCCCCACCCTGTTTTCGGCTACCCTATCTACACACCCACCAACAGAGGACCAGGAGCCTTCTCAGTAAAAGAAACAATCTGTGACGTGAACAGAGCCCACATCCTGGGAGCCAATCTTTACCCCTCACACATCAGATAGAGCACTGATCTCTAGGTGTACAAAGAACTCAAAAAGCTG